GAGACAGGGTTTCTCTGTGTAGCTTTGCGCCTTTCCTGGAGCTCACTTGGTAGCCCAGGCTGGCCTCGAACTCACAAAGATCCGCCTGCCTCTGCCTCCCGAGTGCTGGGATTAAAGGCGTGCGCCACCACGCCCGGCCACAGTTCTATTTCTTATTAGTTGCCGTTCATCTCTTACTGTGCCCAATCTGTAAGTTCAACTTTCTCATAACCGTGAATGTAGAGGAACATATAGGATATCTTGGGGTCTCCACTGTCCTTGAAATCAGCATCCACGAGGGGTCCGAAACACATATCTAGAGTAAAGGAGGGTCTACCTTATAATAAACAGAACTGAGTCTCTGAAATTAACATGACCCCATCCTCTTTGTGACCTCAGGTGAGAGGAGAGGAGCCCCACATCAGCACCCACCTTCACACTCACTGTGCTGCCCCCGAGCAGCAGGCTGCCATCGCTTCTGATTGTAGCCCGCACAGCAGCGATTACAAGTCTCCCCACAGGTGTGGTGCTGGCATTCACACCGGAACCTGAGCACAAAGGCAAAGCATATTTTGGTAAATGAAAAGAGTTGTTGTAGGTATAACACCAAACTCAGGGCAATACTCCTGCCTTGGCGTCCTGAGTTTGGAAAGTTGTTTGACCTGGATTGATTTGATGTTTTATTTTGTTGGCGATTGGTTCTCATTTATCCCAGACTGACCTTGAACTCACTATGTAGCTCAGGAAGACCTTGAGCTTCCACCCTGCTTCTGCCTCCTGAGTGTTGGGATTATAGGTGTATGCTACGTGCCCAGTTTATGGGTTTTGGCTTTATGTGGGGCTAGAGCTCAAAGCCAGCACTCCGTGCCTGCTAGAGAAGCACCCTACCAACTGAGCTGCACCCCCCAGCACCAGATCAGTTGTTCCTGCTAGTCAAACATGCCAGGCCGTGAGTTCAATGCCCAGCACCAAAACTAAACAAAAACCTCTGTTGTTGTATGCAAACATGATATATGACACACACACACCATTGTTGGGTCACCCACAGCGCATTCACTGCACCATTGCAGAGCAAAGCAGTTTGCATGCGTTATGTCAACCCCATCGTCTCCACAGCACATTCACTGCACCATTGCAGAGCAAAGCAATCGCATGCGTTATGTCAACCCCGTCGTCTCCACAGCACATTCACTGCACCATTGCAGAGCAAAGCAGTCTGTACACGTTATGTCAACCCCATCGTCTTAGTTTCACAGACGGTGAAACTAAGGCAGACAGGAAGATGTTTGCTGAGGGTCACGTGGTGATAACAGAGAACCAAAGTCTAGCCAAACTTTGACCCTGAAACGCCAGTTCTTTCTCCTCTACCACATTATGTTACAGTAACTGAACAATACGGCATGATGGCTCATACCTGTAATCACCCCTCCATGGAGGCTGAAGGATAGACAGTATCCAGGCTAGCCTGGGCTACAGAAAACAATAAATATAAATGAGTAAGAAGAAAGAATAAGTGAGCAGGCAGGTACTAAGTTTCCTGGGATGCATTTAGCATCGCATCTTCTCTGAAACCTGGAGTGGAGCTGGGAAAAAGACCTTCTAATGGAATGGAAGGCTGCATTGAGTTACCACTCATCTGGTTTGAAAGAAGACTCAAAACCATCGTGGAACAGCTTCCGGCTGGGCCTCCAGGCACCCCCACGGCCCTGATGTAAGAGGCAGTGGGGAGGATGGCCCAACTGAAGAGTCACACTCCAGAAAGAAGATTCCATCCTTCTCCCTGCTCTACTGTCTGCAATGGCACACTGATGTGGACTTAACTGGCACAGCACGGCAGCTGGAGACCACATGGGCTCTCATTAGAGGCAGTTTCAGCTCGGTACCAATGACATACTTGGCATATGTTGGCCTGAAATAATACTTAAGGGATACTGCTTGAAGAACATGGGCTCCAACTATATTCATAGGGAAGTTTTGAGCAGAGCACAGAAAAGAGCCTGGTGCCTGTCTGGGTGGTGCCTGTCTGGATGGTGCCTGTCTAGATGGTGTCTGCCTGGATGGTGCCTACCTGGGCAGTACCTGCCTAGGTGGTGCCTGTCTGGATGGTGTGCCTGTCTAGATGGTGTGCCTGTCTGGATGGTGCCTGCCTAGGCGGTGCCTGTCTGGATGGTGCCTGCCTGGGCAGTGCCTGTCTGGATGGTGTGCCTGCCTGGGTGGTGCCCGTCTGGATGGTGCCTGTCTGGATGGTGTGCCTGTCTGATGGTGCCTGTCTGGATGGTGTGCCTGTCTGGATGGTGTGCCTGCCTGGGTGGTGCCTGTCTGGATGGTGTGCCTGCCTGGGTGGTGCCTGTCTGGATGGTGCCTGCCTGGGTGGTGCCTGTCTGGATGGTGCCTGTCTGGATGGTGCCTGTCTAGATGGTGTCTGCCTGGATGGTGCCTACCTGGGCAGTGCCTGCCTGGGTGGTGCCTGTCTGGATGGTGTGCCTGTCTGATGGTGTGCCTGTCTGGATGGTGCCTGCCTGGGCGGTGCCTGTCTGGATGGTGCCTGCCTGGGTGGTGCCTGTCTGGATGGTGTGCCTGTCTGGATGGTGTGCCTGTCTGGATGGTGTGCCTGTCTGGATGGTGTGCCTGCCTGGGTGGTGCCTGTCTGGATGGTGTGCCTGTCTGATGGTGCCTGTCTGGATGGTGTGCCTGCCTGGGTGGTGCCTGTCTGGATGGTGCCTGTCTGGATGGTTTGCCTGTCTGATGGTGCCTGCCTGGGCAGTGCCTGTCTGGATGGTGTGCCTGCCTGGATGGTGTCTGCCTGGGCGGTGCCTGTCTGGATGGTGTGCCTGTCTGGATGGTGCCTGCCTGGGCAGTGCCTGTCTGGATGGTGTGCCTGTCTGATGGTGCCTGTCTGGATGGTGTGCCTGCCTGGGCGGTGCCTGTCTGGATGGTGCCTGCCTAGGCGGTGCCTGTCTGGATGGTGTGCCTGTCTGGATGGTGTGCCTGTCTGATGATGCCTGTCTGGATGGTGTGCCTGCCTGGGCGGTGCCTGTCTGGATGGTGCCTGCCTGGGCGGCGCTGACATCCCCAAGCCACTGCTGTACTGATTCTCAGTCTAGGCTGAAGGTGAGGTAGCACTTGACTTTGCATCTACTGCAAAAATGCTTCAGACCCAGCCGATTAGAGTGTCCTTTCCATGATGGCCTCTCCATCTTACTTAGCCTAGTATCTACCATCATTTTTCTCCTGACATTTTAGGTTGTGACACAGCAAAAGATGAACCTGAGCTGACTCCTCATGTTTAGTAGGCTGTTTGAAAGCCCAGAATCAAAAGTGCGATCCTGCTACTATCCATGTAGCGAGGTCAGGATGGTAAGCCCTCTTGGTTAAAACTGTATTCTGCCTAGAACTAACTTCACTGATTGTACAAAATGGGCTTCCTCCATCAAGTTCCTGGGCCATCTCAAGCAGAGGCTTGTTCCTGTTCATACATGTAGATTTCATGAGTATGGACACCAGATTGCCATTGCTGAACTGTTCTGTATTGGCAGAGTTTAAATGAGACTGAGGCTATTTGACCACATGTCAATCATGAAAGATTTTCTATAACACAGGATGTTCATGATAAGCCAAACCCTAATGTGCATTCCCACCTTCGGTGCCAATTCCAACCTGAGGTAGGAACTGCCACACATGGTAGAAACCCCAAATTAAATAAAGTCAAAATCAGGGGCTGGAGAGATGGCTCAGCAGTTAAGAGTACTGGCCGCTCTTCTAGAGGACCTGGGTCCAATTCCCAACAGCCACATGGTGGATCAGAACTGTCTGTAACTTGAGTCTCAGGGGATCAGTGCCTTCTTCTGGACTCCTCAGGCACTGGGCATATATGCAAGCAAAACATTCAGACACACAAAATAAAATAAAAATAAAATTTTAATTTAAAAAAATGCAAAATCAAACTGTGGATAAAAATTATTAGTGAGTGTCCAGCATGGTCTTGGGTTTGGGGATTTGGTAGCAGCGTTCCATATTATCCATAGGGTGCTGTGATTGATTAGTCATGTCTGCCATGGACCCACAGTAGTCTGTGGAAGGAAAGTTCACACACACACACACACACACACACACACACACACACACACACACACACACCACCTTTCTGTGGACTCTGAAACACTCCTGTTGAGGTCTAGAACTTGAAACTCTTTACCAGGGTATACATATGCATTGTAACATTAGGCTCATCCAGAGCAAGGTGGGGGGAGGGGGGAGGGTTGTGGGGGAGGGGGACCTCCGTACTCACTGTTTCTCAGGGTTGTCAGCGGTACACTCATCCGCATGGCCGTTGCAAACACACCGCCCGCCGATGCTGATGTCCTTTATGCTGTAATAGTACTGCACGACAGAGAAGAGAATTAGCAGCTAGTGCCTTCACCTGCAGAAGGGGTGACTCGGCTTCTCCTTTATTCTACACTCTTGGGCTATTTCTCCTTGCTGATCTGAACACAAATGGGAGCCACGTTGCTTGTAACTTGTGTTACAAAATGAATGCATTCTTCAACTAAACTTAATTTTTTAAAAAGCCTTCACAATTTGTCCATTAAAATATCAAATGCTTTAAATGCAGGGAAGAAAATTACCTATGGGGGGGGGAATCATACGGACAGCCTACTGGAATGAGATGATGTGTTTTCAGTTTATTTATACATTGAGCATATGTATCTACCAAAATGAATTTTGTACCTACTATGTGCAAACTGCCCCTCCAGGGTGTGTGAAGAGGAAAAATATTTACAAAGACGGATCAGATCCACCTGTAGTTGTTGGCAGTTGTTGGAACCTTCCTAATTCATGTTCAAAAAGGCTAGAGCTAAGAGTCCAAACTCCCAAAGACCAGCCAGAGTCAGCAGCAGACCCAGGGGAGGCCACATGTACACATACACACACACACACCTTGCAACACTCACAAAGGTAATTGGAAGTGCAGGGAAGTGGTGAGCTGGGGCCTTGTAGCTTTTCAGAATGCCCAGCTCATCCTTATCACTGTCTCCATCTACCCACGGGTTCAGAAAGCGCTAAGAGCACTGGAAATGCAGGTGAGTCACCTACAGACAAAGTAGCTAACCTTTCTGGAAAATGCTCAAAACTGTAACAAATCTTTCCCAGGCTGTCCACCTCCGACCTCTCTGCTATTAACTACATAAAATTCCAAACTCTAGCAGTACAGTACATCTTCCAGTCAGCCTTCTAGGTGGATCTTGCCCCTGGTCCTTGGGCTGACCCCTGTATCATCAGCAGCCCCATATCTGGCTCCCTAGCTTCCTCTCTGGTTGTGCCATTAAGAGGCACTTGCAGGAGAAAAGCAAGCTCAGGTCACTTCTACTGGCCCCCTGTCCCTAGAAGCCAGGGTACCATCCTAACACCGGAGGTTGGGAGATGTTCCCATAGCTTTCCCTCAGACTGCAGAGTTTACTGAACCACCACATTCTCCTCCCCTAGGTCACGTTTCAGAGCTCTTTCCCTAGGAGGGTCTACATTAGGACCAGATCTTCTCAGTGGAAGCTTCAGTCTTGCTTCTTCCTCCAGATCATTGGTGCACTGGTCCATGAGGGAGGAGGGAGCGGAAGCAGGGAACAGAGTTCAGATGGCTGTGGGTGCGATGTCGACATCCTCTGGGGGATGACTGGTGAATCAGCTCGGCTTTATTCCAGAGTATAGGGAACATATAGGATTGGGAAGCCAGGGGACAAACCCTAATTTGCATTAAGTGGCACATCCTATGGTAAGGCTGGGTTAGTGGCAGCAGGGTCCTGTAGAAAAGCTCCTAGTGTATGTCTCCGTTTCCATATTGCAGCAGGGGAGGCTTCTAGCAGGAAACTGTGCCAAGAGTCAAGCTAAAGATGAATCAGGCATCCAGGCTTAGAGACAGCTTTCAGACAAGGTCAGTCCTCAGGGCCCAGGGACATTCTCCAGATAAGGGCAGGTAGAGAGCAGGAAGTTTCGCTGGGGAGGAAGTCCCCATGTCACCGAGCTTTGGAAAAGGCTGCCAGGCCATGATAGACTGCAACCTCTGACCAGCAAGGCCTTCCATCAGAAGTGACCTCTGTAGCTTGGGGTGTGTGAGTTTCCTCTTTGCTCCCTCTTTCCTCTGCTGAACTGAAGCAGAGAATCGGAAGGAAGACACTAAGACACCGCTAGAAACAAGGAGCCCGGTCCCCAGGGTGACCGCATGGAGCTGCGCTCACCAGCTGATACACACCCGACTGTGACATGAGCCAGGCCTTCTCAGGCCTCTGACACTAGGGCTTGCTGACGGTAAGAGCTACCCACCTGCACCCGTACCAGACCGACTACAGTCCGTTTGGGTATAACAATTTTTCTTGTCTTTGGGACTGAACCCGGTTTTCTACCACTGAGCTGGATTGACGGCTAAGTTGCCTAGGCTGTCCTGAGACTCATTCTGCAGTCCAACCAGGCCTTGCATTTGTAATCCTCCTGCATCAACCTCCCTGGCAGCTGGGATTACAGGCCTCCACCACCATGGCCTGGTTAATTTTTCTTCAAATAGCCATATCTATTTTAGACAGGCCCCACCCTCTACCTAAAGATCACTGGCTGGGAAAAGGACTCAGAAGAACTGAACTCATTTGACAAGCAAAACAAGCAACAAGACACAGCGCTCACAAAATGCCACTCACCCGCCGGGTAACAGTGGGGTCTCGCTCTGCTTTGGAGATAAGATGCCCAAGGAGGGTATTGGTTCGGAGAAATCGCAAGCGAATGTTTGTTGCTTTAGTAAACTCCCTCAGGGTGTCAGAGAAAGCGAAATTTTTTGCACCTGGACGACCATTTATCAAGGATACAACCACCTTAAAAAACAAAACAAAATACCAGACCAAAGTCCTTTTCTCAAAATGTAACCACAAGACATTAAAAATAGCATATGCCCCCAAAGCACCCGGTTCTCAAAGGAGCCCCTGGCCGGGCTGAGGTGGTTGAGCACCTAGTTTATAGGTCAGAACATTTGCTAGTTCTTGGATCTACATTTAAACCTGATCTCTGTGAAGATGTCCTCACTTCGTTCTTAAACCTCTGACCTGTCAGGTGGCTGTGGAAGGGAAGCACCATGAAATGTTGGAGAGAGAACTGTTACGTCTGTAAACACAGGGAAGTGATTCTGTCAAACTGTATCAAAAACAGAGCTGAAATGATCTACACCAGAGCTTCCCAACCGTCCTGACGCTGCGACCCTTTAATACGGCTCCTCATGCTGTGTTGACCCCAGCCACCACGTTATTTTCGCTGCTACTTCACAACTGTAATTTTGCTACTGTTGTGAATCATAATGTAAATGTCTGATATGCGGGAGTCATTTGAGCCCCAAAGGGGCTGCGACCCATAGGTTGAGAACCACTGATCTAAATGCTCTTAAAAATGTGAACCAGAACAATGGCTCAGGTTCTCATGCCTCAGCTGACAAAGTCTAAGCCTCAGTAGCTTGAACCATGAGCTGCTCCCCAGCTGAAGGTACTGGGTAGAGCTATTTAAGTAAGATCTCACACTCCTAACAAGAGTTGATTGGAAAGTCTGTTTATGTTCCGTGGAATTCTTCCCTGACTGTCCCCATCTTGGTTTGTCCCCTGCATAGCCACAGCCAGGCTGGTTTCACAGCAGGGCCAGAGGCAACTCCAAGGAGACAGCAGTTGTTTCCCCCCAGGAGCTGACATCCACATGTCACATGGGACTAACTGAAGGAACTCTAGCCAGCCCAAGCATGGCTGACATGGCTCTGGCAGGCCTTGCCCTTCTCCCAGTTCCCTCTGCCTTGCTAAAATCCGTTCCATTACACTCCTAAAGCCAGCCACCAAGGTCTAGGTCCTTATTTAGCCACTTCCTCCCCCTGAGGCTGACTACCAGGGCCCAGCTATCGAAGTATTGAAGTCCAGCGATCAGAAGCCCCCTTGGCTCACCTAATTAAAATACCCAATCAAAATGAAAAACCTCATCCTAACATGGGGCTTCCCTTTGTACCTTTATAAACTGCCATTTTTCTATGGGCCACGTTTGTCTCCTCCCTATCCAGAGGCCATCCTTTGTCCTATGGAAAATACCCCTTCTCTCTCTCCCTTGTCCCCTTCCCCTTCTTCCTCATCCTCTATCTCCTGTCTCTGTGTCTCATTCCCTGCCCTTTGTCCCTCTGGGGCAAATAAATCTCCTTTGTGCTGAGGCCTCGGTCTTGGGGGTCCTCTGCCGACAGCAGTCTCTTCACCAGGGCTTAGCGCTGCCGCCTGCCCCACCTCCTCAGTCTTATTGGAAACAGTGTGTGAGATGTGGGAGGGAGGTCACCAGTTACCAGGGACCCACTGCCTCTGGCACCAGGAGAATTCTGAGACCCGTGGGCCTTGGATCCCAAACCCTAACTTCCTGGGGAGAACTCGGCCCCACACGGAACTTCCAACCCAACTCATTCTCAGCCTTTGGAGTGATTCCTTTTCTATTTTCTCCAAAGCACTGCTTCCCACCCTGGTCTGTACTGTCTCCCGGGAGTACAATGTCATAGCCTCCTGTCCCTTCCGGATCTTACCCGACTGCCTCCCAAACCATTTACCTCGCCATTTTCCAGAGGCACAATGCGGGAATACTCCGTGACACAGAGCACCTGGTCATCCCGGGTGACGGCCACGCTTGCTTCTTGCCCAAACTGTTCTAAACAATCTCTTCTAGAGTCTAGAAAGGAAACAGTGGAACGTTGTCAAATAATGCATCTTTTCTTCTAGAATGCTTCCAACACCTTGTGTTTCCTTAAGAGGAAGAACCAAGGAGTCTTTTGGACTCCTAGATGGAAGCTTAGGATGAAGATTTTAACTCATGAAAAGAAATATCTGGCGTTTCAGTTCAAGTGCCCTTCAGCAACCTCCTTTGGAGATACGCTATCAATTCCTCATACCTCGAGTAGGCAACTTTACCCTCTAAGCAAATTTGCTGCCACCTTGATTCATCATGTGGTCCAGGGACATTTACACACCTCATTAGCAAAGACAACAGGTTCTAAATGAGAAACATGGAGCCCAGGATCTATAGAGAGCCGACTGTTCCTGACTCCTCATGAAGGGGCAAGAACATGAGTGACAGCTCACTTACAGGTAGCTCCCACCAAGAGGAGCAAAACTGTTACAAAGGGGGTGCAACCTCCATTCTGCATGTGGGACCCTTAGGATCAGTGCATACAAGACTGAGAAACGGGGATGTTTTGAGGACAACTTGGGAGGTCCAGTCCCTGCGTAGTCACACCGAGACACTCTTTATTAACTAAATCCATAGTCTTAAACTGTTTCAGAAAGTCAAAGCCCCTCATAGCACAGAAGACAAGATTACTTACGAGCAAAATACTGCCATGGTGAGTAGGTGCTTCCAAAGTCTACAGATCTTTCCAAGACCCAAAGATCAGGGCGCGGAGAGTTTGCAAATTTGATTAAAACATAGGCCACTTGGAAAAGCTGAAAAAGCAAGAGAGGTGCAATTTGTGTAGACTGGGAGTATAGCTCAGTGGTAGAGCACTTGCCTCAAATGCAAAAGGCCCTGGGTTCAATCCCCAACATCACCAAAAAGAAAAGATTAAAGTCACGTTGTCCGTAGCTCTGACTATTTCTACAGGACGGTGATTCCCAAGGCTACAAGATGCAGATCCCATTTCTATCTGCCTGGTGAGCATCTCTGCTCAGCTTCAGCCTCTTCAAGCTTATTATTCTCAAAACCATATAGTCTTCCTTCCCCTCTCAGTACACATGGTCGCCATCATTGTCACATCTTAACCAAATGTCTTGAGTTCAGCCAGCCTGCACAGCCTCGTGGTCTATGTCAGAAACCCGGTGGCAAGTACAAAGAACAGTGTGCCAAGTCCTTGGAGGAGCAGGAACCAACAGTAAAGCTCGAGGTTCTCGAGGAGTCCTGTGGGTCCGGGTACTGGAGAGGTCCCAGTCACAGACTGAGACCACACAGCCATTGGGTGGGGCCGCACCCTCTTTCCCCATGACGGCTGCACTGGCCTCCTCTTTTCCTGTTTCCCTCTTACCAAGTTTCCTGTTGACTCTCATCCTTCTTTTGCCTGTGACCAGAGTGAAACAAACACAGGAAGAAAGGAAGGTGGGCTCTGGGCCTGCTCTCTTCACCTCCAACTCTTTTTTTTTTTTTTTTTTTTTTTGGTTTTTCGAGACAAGGTTTCTCTGTGTAGCTTTTGCGCCTTTCCTGGAACTCACTTGGTAGCCCAGGCTGGCCTCGAACTCACAGAGATCCGCCTGGCTCTGCCTCCCGAGTGCTGGGATTAAAGGCGTGCGCCACCACCGCCCGGCTCACCTCCAACTCTTAAATGCCCACATAGAGCCCAAGAACGCCCAGCATCTCTGCAGTTTATTCCACACTCCCCTTCCTCAAAAAGCATTCAAGCTCTGTAATTATACAGTCAGGCCTCCACATTGGTGCTACAATATCCAAAATGTGAATCAACCAAGCACCAAAAATGTTGGGGTGGAGGATATCACGTTGGTAGTGTGTACGTTATTCTTGACTGTAGTCTTTGGCAATGCAGTGTGTAACAAGTACTTATATCATATTAGTCACCTGTAGATTATATAAGAGGATGTGCATAGGCTACACTTAAGTGCACCATTCTACACAGGGACTTAGGCGTCTGCTGGGGATGTTTTTCTGTATGCTGTGAATTGAATGTGTTGCTCTGATTGATTGATAAATAAAACATTGATTGGCCAGTAGCCAGGCAGGAAGTATAGTATAGACAGGACAAGCAGAGAGGAGAATTCTGGGAAGATGAAGGCTGAGTCAGAAGTCACCAGCCAGACATAGAAGAAGCAAGATGTAAAAGTACCCACAAGCCACAAGTCACATGGCAACTTATAAATCAATAGAAATGGGTTAATTTAAGATACAAGAACTAGATAGCAAGAAGCCTGCCATGGCCATACAGTTTGTAAGTCTCTGTGTGTTTACTTGGGTCTGAGTGGCTGAGGACCCAAGCGTCTGTGGACCCAAGTGGGACTGGAGAAAACTCCAGCTACAGGTATCCCTAAAGGATGCAAAGGACAGAGGGGGCCCCACCAAGGGATGACAGCAGAGCACGGGTCTAAACAAATCTGCATTATCATGTTAATGAACCTTCCCTGCTCCCCAAATCCTGGACCCAAGACACCACACATAACAGGATCGACAGTGGCTGTCTGAGCAGGCTGCCCACTGCACTAGCTAACCCACCAGAGCCAGGGCCTCATCCACTGGGAGAAAGGAAGGACAAGAGGGCTGTGGGGCTCTATTTCCCGGGGAAAATACTACAAGAGAACTCTTGGTGTGTAACTCAATAGGCAAGGTCTTGGCTCAATCCCTGGGAACAAAATAATAGTAACAACAACAACAGTAGTTTTTAACCTTTTTCCACATTCAATGGTTTAAGTTGTGTGGTAGATGTTTCTGTGTGTGTGTGTGTGTGTGTGTGTGTGTGTGTGTGTGTGTGTGTGTATTAAAGTCTGAGAACTATTATCTAATATTAATACTTCAAACTCTAAATTAGGAGCCCAAATCTATATTCTCATTCTCTCTCTCTCTCTCTCTCTCTCTCTCTCTCTCTCTCTCTCTCTCTCTCTCTCTCCTCCAAATTTCTTTACACTTTAAAAAATGATAGAAGAACGCAAAAATCTTTTCTGTTGATCCTTCTATTGAAGTATTAACAATCACAGTTGAGAAAATTTTGTTTTGTTTGTTTGTTCTGTTTTCAAGACAGAGTTTCCCTGTGTAGCCCTGACTGTCCTGTAATAAGTCTTTTTCTGCCCACCAGCCAGCTTCCGAATAATGACATACAGACTTCTTATTAATTATGAAAGCTCAGCCTATAGCTTAGGCTTGTTCCTAACTAGCTCTTATAACTTAAATTAACCCATCTATATTAATCTGTGTTCTATCACATGGCATTACTGCTCTTTCATCTTGTACTTCCTATTTCCTCTCCGTGTCTCCTGGCTTCTCCTGTGCACCTAGATTCCTCCTCTTCTTCCTTTCTCTCCCTGGAAATCCTGCCTATACCTCCTGCCTGGCTATTGGCCATTTAGCTTTTTATTACACCAATCACAGCAAATATAATCTTAATATAGTATACAAATATCCTACAACAGTCCTGGAACTTGCTTTGTAGACCAGGCTAGCCTCGAACTCACAGAGGTCTGCCTGCCTCTGCCTCTCAAGTGCTGGGATTAAAGATGTGCACCACTGCCACCTGGCTTATAGTTGAGAAATTTAAAGCATATATATTATTATTCATTTAAAGTAAGAACTCCATTATGTAGGAAGCCCTGAGTGAGTAAAGTCCTGAATGAACTGTGCTGTTGACATGAGCAAAGCCATGTCAAGGACCAAAGCCTCCCCCTAACACCTACCCCCACTCACATCCATCCTGGTGAGGCTCAGAGCAAAATGGCAAAGCCTTCATCTTCCATCCAAGTGTGAGTGTGGATAATGTGTGCGAAAAATGTCTACTATAGATTTCCTCACCGAGATGTTTAGGGCTTGAAGACTGCTCCCCTGCAGAGACTGCTCTTACTAGACTAGCTAAACCCGGCTCCTGGGTCCAGCTGTGTGCCACAAGCCAGCCTCCTGGTTTGTCTGTCTGTAACAGCCTACTTCCTTGTTGGGCTGGATGCAATAACCCCACCTCTCTATTCAACTCTACTTAATAAACACGCTGAGACTCCAGGCTGCTGAAGTTTCTTCATCTGAGACCTGGTCTGCTCAACCCCCAGCTTTTCTGTGTCTCTACACACAGACACACACACACACACACACACACACACACACACACACACACACACACCCATCAGGTCTGTCCTTAGAGCAGTGCTGAATGCAGCACCATTACATCCTAAGATAAATGCTATGATATGGTTATGAAAAGCTGTGTTTTCTCAAACAAGAATATTGGCAGAGCTCTGTTTTTGCGAATCCCTTTAACTGTCAGAGTGAATGGAAGATGAGTGGGTTTTCATATCTGCTTCTACTTCTCTCTGTAGTGACGTTTTGCTTGGGTGAAGTATTTGGAAAAGATCTCACCCCAGTCAGATCTTCAACGGTAAAAATGAGGTCCTCTGGCCTTGGGGACCCCACAGGCTCTCACCTGACTCTGAGAAGCACCACTCCCTTACAGAGTCTGCCTTCACGTAAGAAGCCTCTTTGCCTGGCTCTCTAGGGAAGGAAGACTGTCACAGCTGCAACAATACCCTAAGTCCCAGCCAGTTCTGTGCCCTTCAGGCTGTGCTTTTCAGTTTTGGAAATAATACCTACCTGGGCTGTGAGTCATACTGTTAGGTCTCAACCTGGGGCAAATGGCTAAGTGAGGTGTCTATTTAACATCGTAAAGCAGGCCTGGCCACCAGGTTCTCCCAGCATCCCTCAGTCCCATCTGTTACAGGGGATGGCTGACATACCACACCCCCACCCTAAACCTCTCCAGTCCAGCTCTTCTTTCAGTTGCCCTTCCCTATACAATCCAGCAGTTCTGGCTCCCTAGCCCCTTTCCTCCCCTGGCTCTCCCCTCCCCATCTCCTCACATGGCTTGGGGTCATGTCCACGCTGGACTCTCCCAGATAGCTCTTCCTCTAGCTAGGTTCTCCCTTTTACCTACAATAGACCTTCTCCTTCACCATACCTCGGAGTAGTCATGTCTCTCTGTTTGTTGGTTGGTTTATCTAATTCAATACACCCTACTCTCCACCAATGTGTGGAAAAACTTCCTCCTTGATACAGAAGCACAAGGAATTACAAGGGTGGTCTGAACACCATAAAGCAATACCTAAAGGTAGAAAGAGAGGTTTCCAAAAGACACAGGCCATAGTTGCACATGAAGGGATTTATGGGAAATTCGAGAACTCCTGCTTGGAAAAACTATAACAAATGTAGAGCCCTTCCAACTGCTTATACACCTGTGTCGGTCCTGTCAAAGTAAAGCCACATTTAGGTAAGAGACTAAGATGGACAATAAATGAGGTGTTTTGAATACAAGAATCTAACTAAGCATGCTTTATCTCCCACCAAACTCTCACAGTCCTGGCTCCTACAAAATATTCAATAGATTATCATTAGTGGCCACTGCCTCCTGAGCTTAGCTTAGCTTGTTTCAAGGTGTTACGCTATTCTTCTGTAACACTGCAGTTACTGAACATCCCACCAAGAGCCATAGGGGTTATAGGAGCCATCGGGTTACAGGAAGCCATGGGTTCGAGCTCCAGTACCACATAAACCAGGAGGCAGGAGATCCAGATGTTCAAGGTCATCCTCGGCTACATTCCAAGTTTGAAGCCAGCCTGGGCTACATGAGACACTGCAAAGGAAGGGGGGAAGGGAGAAAGATGGAGATAGGAGTGGGAGGAGAGACTTCAGTGAGCAGATGGGGCCTCGGCTTGTGTGGAACCTACTACCAGGGCTAATTCAGTGAACATGCTGCGTCTATCCACCGTCGTTTAGCACCACGCAGACGGGACAATCCACTTTATGTGCCCCTCCCGGGTTTTGTCTTGGGACCTGTCTCCGAGGTTCCTTGACACACAAGTG